AACAGGACTCGAGGAAAAGTCCAACATTAACTTTCTATTAGTCTGTGTTGAGGATGAAGCCCTTGCCTTGTAGCCCACCTTTATGTGATTGCATGTGGCCCTATTTGATTAAGTGTTAATTTAGTTAAAGATTATTTCTGGAACGAAAACAGAGAGGTGTTTTTTTTTTTTTTTTAATATAATTTGGAGAGACATGAGAGACATTTAACAGCTCAGTAGAAGAAGCACCTTCACTTTTGCTGTGATGGTGAGAAAGCTGTGGGAGGCTTTTAGGATGTTGTTAACACCGGCGATATCAGATGGTGATAAAATGCATCTGTTTCTATGTGATTACCAGCTAAGTGACAGCTGGACACAGTTTTAAGGGGTTCACTGTTTTTTTAATTGTATGGATTTTTTTTTCCTTCACTTTAGCTTTTTTTTTCAATTTGTGACCCCTTTGGGTTATTGGAGTTTTTTTAATATCAACATCATTACATGTTGACATTTTACAGTGGCCTCTGGGTTGTGAGTCATATCAAGTGGGGTTGTGATAGTTGACGTTGTGGGTGTATGTGTGTATGGGTGGATGTTCATGCCTGTATTGGTACGTACCATCTCATCCAATCATTGTGTTTTTGTTGTTGTTGCTGATCTCTGTGGGCATCACACATACAACTGCAGACCACTTCCTGTAACCCAAATACCACCCACATTCTTTCTTGGTTTCTTGGTTCACCCATATTTTGGTTGATTTCTGTATAACCAGCCAGGGTGTCAATAAGCGCTAGAAACTGTTATCAGGGTTTTATTAAAAAAAACTTTGCAGAACCTAACCCTCTCAAGCATAATGCACTGTCCTCACCTTCTTGCTCTGAATACATAGGACAGTCATTACACACTATGTTTTAGAAGATCTGCTCTGATTTTAAAAGGAATTCATTATTGAAATTATTCATTCAGATGATTCATAATTCATTGAGCAAGAACTGCCTCTAAAAATGTCCCAGTCCTTTTAAAGCGCTACATGTAAGAACATATTTTTACATCTAGCTAAGGCACATCATCTGGTCAGATAGGAATTGATAAATCTTTCATTCAGCTGTCTTTCACTGCCACTGCCTTTCTCACCCTGTAAACAGCAATATCTGATGCTGACAAATAACGTAGCAAAACAGGATCATCTCCTTCTTTTGCTAAGATGTTGTATTAAGGGCTGTCTGAAGTGGTAAAGGTTTTTTTGAAACCGTGCATCCTTTGGCCTTAAGCGCAAACATTTCTTAAAGCTGTTTTGCTACTTTTATAACCATTTCATGTGCTTTTGCAGTGAAGATAACTGGCAGCTACATACCTAAGCTATCCCATCTTGCTCATTGTTACCCAGTCTTCTTCGATACAGGGAGTCTACAGGGAGTCAATTAACCCATGCCAGAGGTAGTGAGATAGTGGTGTCTTCTTGCTTTTAAAAGAAGGCTTCCACAAGTACAAAAGAGTGTGTGGAGTTAATTAAACTTCTTTTGTTGTCAATGAAGGTGTAATAAATATCTGATTTCGATCAGGGATTCAGGTCAAGTGTCTACAATGGGGCTGCAAAGACACAAACATCCAATGAGAACCCCTCCTGACAATTCAATCAAAGTGTCAGTGACACTTTCCGTGTAAATAAAGCTGAATTTTCCTTCCTCCTTTGCCTGATGTCTAATACGCTTCAGTCACACTCTACACCGAATCATCTCAAATTCTTACTGGATGTCACTGCGTCGTCCCCTGTCTGCGTTCCATTTGTTTCCATTTGGTTCAGGGCCAACATGGATATTATAAAAACGTAGCGGGTATTTTCAAGGCTTGTATGCAAGACGAGATTAAAGGACACTTTTTTTCTAAAGCCAAACAATATCCGTGCCCAAGATTGCAGACTTGATACAGGAGTGAACCCTGAAAGATAAAATAGTGTGTGCTTGTTGTAAACATAGATTGATATCATGAGGTTGAAGCTATCTGGAGGTTTTGACTTTATAACAAATAGTACTTTCGTTGTAAGGATGCCGCAAAAAGAAAAAGAATAGATAATGATTAATGGAGGACATCCACAAGGAGGATATCAACACAATATATAAAAGTGGATGGGTAAATCGTTTTTAGAAAATAGTAAAGCTTATAAGGAATCATGATTCCTTTCTAAACAATATTTTGTGTTTTAAATAAAACCAAACTAAGCAGTCTATCAGGGTTTCATAACAGTACTGAATCCTGTTATTGACCAAGTCTTGAAGCAAATTGTGATTTTTTTTTTTTTCATGTTCCAGCTTTTTATCAGCGTAATTCATCTTGGACCAACTCAGCACTGAGAGAAATATCGGAGAGACAGACTACACCCCTGGTAGCCAAATCATCACAGACAAATATGTCCTTGGTGGATGCTTCTGCTGCCAAACCCGAAGAGCCACTGGAGCCATGGTCAAGAGACAAATAAAGAGAGAGAGAGAGAGAGAGAGAGGGGAGGGGGGAGGGAGATGAATGTCACCCTTGCTCTCATATGTCATATTGTTAGCTATAGATACGAGGAGAACGCCTCAAGGTTGAACGTGCAGCTGAGACATGAATAATCTATCAGAGGTTTCCACCGACTAAATAGAGGGAAATATGTCTGCATGGATTATTTATGCTTTAATATGCACTCGGTGAATGGACAATCACCTCTGAGAGCATGAAGACATCGTAGAGGGCCGAGTTAATTGTGTGTGTCTGGACTGCATGCGAGCTGGCTGTGAGAGCGGCAGTGGTTGTCCAGCTGTTCAGCTTGGTTACACGTAGGGTCTATGTTGGTGATGGATTGCAGTAATAGCATGTTCTGGTTGGAAGAGTGTTCGGTTTTATATTATGTATGTGCTGTACAGTCCCCCAACCATATCATCGATCTTTGTGCTTTGACACGTTGTTTATACTTTCTTACTCAAATCTAAAATCGCTCTTGCATAGACGCACGCAAATGCTCTGCGGCGCGTGCTGATGCATTCGCTCACCCCCGCGCAACATTTGAATGTAGTCCATTTCAAACTGGTCTGGCCTTGGCTTTTCCAGCTCACCTTCTTTCCTTTTCAGATGACTGCCACGACATGGGAAATGTCAGGCTCTCTCTCTCTCTCTCTCTCTCTCTCCCTCTCTCTCTGCCGGCACTGTTTGGCTTCTTCAAACATTTGTGAAGTGTTAAGCTCATCTCTGCAGCTTAGGAGGGCAGTCTCTCAGGAATCAAGGCTGCTGACCCGCAACACAGCGAAGACAGCCTAGCCAAGTGCACTCAAGCACATCCACTCTGCACGCTCATTTGCATCAACAAAAGATTGTACGACTCCCAAGTTTGTGGTCTTTAAGAGCTGCACTCTCACCATGCTGGAAAGGTCCATGCAACACAAAATGGAATTTATGGGGTGGCTTTGCATCGCCTAAGAGGAATGTTATCATCTCACAAAGGTTTCAAATGCTCTTCAGCTCCAAGTAGTGCCATTTTCTAAGTGTGTGATCATGTTGAAGTTCAAATATTTCTGTCTGCCACTTCTTTTTTTTTACACACTCACTGGGCTACACAAACATCAATGGTGTAGGAATTAAGCCCCACTGAAAAGACTTACCTAATTCCTCTTAACAAAGAAAGCTTCCTCAGATCTGTTGCAGTCTGCTTTGTTCTAAAAAGCTTATTTTTTGCATTGGTTGCATTGCTATAAGGAAAGTAAAGCAAATGGTTGCTTTTTTTTTTTTTTTTTTTTTTTTTTTACAGCATTTGGCTCCATAAACAGGCAGAGATGCATTTCATATCTCAAAACCCAATATGCAAAGTGGCCTGAGCTGCTGCATTTGGTTAGACGCCTGTGCAAACAAACTATGGATTTTACTGGATAGCAGAATTTAAGGCTTGTGTGTTATTGCCTCTTTGGGTTTGTCTAGCCTGTATTGTTGAGTTCATGCTTCTTTGCATGAAAGTCGCTCAAGACAGTGTACTGAAACGTGTTGGGGTGCAGCTGAATTGCGTCTGTAAGTGTCACAAAATGAGATTAGCAAATCAGTGTTTTAATATCTATATCAAACATATCACACGTTTGATGTACTCACCAGGGATGAGAAATAAATAAGTAGATGTACAGATTTTATGTGTATATTCTCAATGGCTAGGATTTTGTATTTATGTGCACCTCCCCTTGGTTTCATCCCAACCAGCCAATGGAAAAATTCCATTTATGGGACAACAGATGCTCTGTTTTTTTCTCTCTCTATTTTTCACTTCACGCCCAAGAGGAGAAAAAAAATCTGCTCCTCTTTTCATTTTATTATTATTATTTTAACCAAGTTCTGGATCTGTTTGACACAGGCATGAACACTCCCATAATCAGCCAGAGTGTGCATCCTTCTGAATAGAGATGAAAGAGGAGAACACACACACACACACACACACACACACACACACACACACACACACATGCATAGGCAGACACACTTAAACACACATGCATGCACAGACGACAACAACAAGGAGCACACAAATAAACAGGCACAAACATACAGGGAAGAAGCACAAGCCATTTGGCACAGTCTCTCTGTCTAGGGAGGGCTTCAAAGCCCACTGACATGAATTTATGATAACGGCACTATGCCTGTGCCAAACCTCAACTGTTGTTGTTTTTCTCTCGCTCCCTCTCCATCCCTTCTGTATGCTCTGCCATCCCCTTGATCAGAGCTTTGGAAAATGCTAGCAGGTGTCCCCCAGTCCCTTGGAAAACTGTGTCTGTGCATGCATTCACAGATTTTGGAAAGGGACATCCTTAGCTGGCTCCTCCAATTTTACATCATTTCATTAGGCTTGGCTCGGCTCTCCTAACTTTGGGATCCAATTCTTTGTACAGTTCAGTTTCATAATAGTTCTATGATTCTATTAACCTCTCCCTGTGTGGTTTTACTATTCTATGCACACTACTGACACAAATATTACTTTCTTCCCCATCCATCCCCTCCCTTTTTCCTATCTACAGATGAGGATTGTGTGAACTGTACAGAGGAGTGCCGAGTTCTGGGTCATTCCGACCGCTGCTGGATGCCCCAATTCCCCGCTGGAGGAAACCAGGCAGAGGGCGTTGACTACCGCAACAATATGTTTGTACCAGCAGGGATGGAGACTGTGCCGGAGACAGAAACCTATGAGACGGTCAACCCAAACGGCAAAAAGACATTCTGTACATTTGGAAAAGAGAGGCGCGATCACACCATCCTGGTCGCCAATGTCAAGCCCTACTTGAAGGCGAAACGTGCCCTCAGTCCACTGCTCCAGGAGATTCCCTCAGTCTCGAGCAGTCCTACTAAAGGCTGCTCCACCATGTCTCCCTGTTCCTCCATGAAAAGCCCAGCCGACGGAGCTGAAGGCAAACCTCCCCCCGCCACCTGCTCCGGTCACTACGGCCCTCCTGATGGTCAGTACCTTTCACCAACCAAACAAAGCAGAGACCAGGGGGTCTACCCACCCTTGCCTCCCTCAGATCCAGTAGCCAAGGTGCTGGCAGAGGCTCGCTCCAGGATAAGCCAAGAGGCAACAAGTGAAATGGAGTGCGTCCTGGAGCAGGTGGAGCCTGGGAACGTAAACCGTGACAGAATGGACGCTGACCAGGTGGTGAGAGACATCGACAAACTATTGCAGGACTGCAGAGGAAGTGAGGCCACCGGCACACTCAGGAAGTGACACAAAGGACTCCAAAAAAAAAAAAAAACGTGGGGAGGAAGAGAGAGGAATAGAATGCTGTTCCAAAAACTCTCATGCCAAAACTTTCACCAAAACAAATCAGAAAGGTTAAATGGCTCTTATGACGAGGAGCTCTTTTCACTGTATTTGTTGTCGAGAAGTACCGATACAGGACGGACAATGCGATCATTTTTAATGTCAGAGATTTTGCACCAGTTTAGGTGCTGAGATCCCTACAAACATGAAAGGAACTTGATACAGAACACCTGGATTCTACTGAATTTATAAACTCTTTGTTTTGGATTCTTTCGCAAATTGCAGAGGCTTATTCCTCTTGCACCTCGCAAACTATTATCTAAGTGCCCACCAGCTCATAAGTGTGTTGTTCATGGTCTCTCGTGAAACCCTACATATCTAAGTGTGTGTAGGTGGATTTCTGTTATGTGTGATGGCCATAGAAACTGAACGGAAAAGGACTTTTAATGGTCAGACACGACAATCGAACAGAGAAACAAATTCTAATCTATTTCGGATGGTGAAAAAACGACACAACCTTATCTTTCCTGACTTTAATGTAGGTCATATATAACACGTGATAGATCCTGTATCTGAATATGAGGAGATTGGTCGTTCAGGGGAGGCACTCGCTCGGGTTGGTTGTGGACTTTTGGTTGAAGGGGCTTAAACGCTACGCTTGAAGGAGAATTATTAACAGTGTAACCATTGTTTCACCTGTCATTTGTAGCCACATGTGTAAGTTGTGTCTGTCTCACGCCTCTATTTAAACATTCATGTTGCTGACACGCACCAATTTTACACATGTGCACTACGCTTTGCACATACATGTGCGGATACACTGACATGCACTGATACTACAGACACACACACACACACACACACACACACTAATGCTTAAACACAAGTGGCCATCTGTGTAATTGTCTTCTACATGAACATCATCAGCTTCAGTCCCTTGTGTACAGTGAATAATCATGTGTGTGACTCTGCCTTAAGGCAATCACAAGTTGTATAAAAAGGGACATTTTTCTCAACTGTGAAAAAATGATATCTATATGATTATATAGATGATTATATGTATGAATCCATGTATAGTGTCCAAATATTAACTGAGTATTTATACATTTTTTAAGAAAAAAATAAATTGAGGAATCTCAGCAAAAAAGTGTCCTCAAGGAAAGGTCAAGAGCGGGGTATAAACTCAAAGAACTGCAAAGGACACTGCCATTGTTTCGAAGTACCCAAAAATATAAACAAACGACAAAATGTCCCTTCACATTATCACTATACATACTATCATTATATGTGTAAATGTATCCAATTTAGATGTGTTTACATAAAAAAGTTGACATATTTTTATTGATTTTACTGCAATTTCTGTGCATTTGAGCCAAATTGTTATGTGTACAAAAGCTATATTGTGTATTTTATTAAATTAATATATAGTTGTGTTGCAATATACATGGGCTTATATTGTATTTGGCAAAAGTTGCCTTAGTAGCTGTCGAACTCTGTGAGTTTGCTTTAGTTTGGGTTTTTGTTGTTATTTTTTTTTTTCTCTTCTCTATTCTGCATCTTTGCAGGCTGGCTTCAGTGCTTTTGAGATGTCGCCTCTTTTTACCCTGAGATCCAGCTGGATCAAATATAGTAACTGTTAAAAGCTTAATGAGCCAGCTGATCTACAATACAATTCAAAAAAACCGACAACAAAAAGCAACAACCACAAGGGGAAAAAAAACAGTTTGAATATTTTTACTGAGCAAGATTTTTACAGGGCAGCTATTTTTTTTTCCACAATAACTAGGATGCGGATTTTCTGTTCATTACGTTTTTACTTTCTTTCCAAAAAAAAAAAGAAAAAAAAAGAAACCTGCCATATGGAAGGTGGAGTGGTTTCCTTGGTGATCATAAAACTGCCTTACTGTCTCTGCGGAGAGCTTGTTGTATCTGTGGAGCTTGTGACTGCTTCTAAAGCCCTGGTCCACCAGAATGTGCATTTTCTATAAAGGACCAAAAGAGGTTCTTTTTCAGCAGTCTGTGTCCTTTATGTATGTACTCCTCGATACATGTTAGAATTCTCATTCTTTGCAGAGAAACTTGACATCTGAAATTCTATCTGAACTTACTTTTGGATTTGATGTCTTAGCTGTTTAAGTACACGGTTTATATATAACCAAGTGTCTTCACATTCAGGCTTTCTTAAACAATAAAAAAATGATACAGACATTTATTTTTGAAATTTTTGGCACATTTCGGCCACTCTCTGAAATAAGTATGGGAGGTGCTTTTTCTAATATTCTCTGTGCGTTAAATGAGCAGAACAGTAGGCTATTAGACTAGATGTGTTCTGGGTGAAGATGACCACAATCACCAAATCTATGGAAGATGCAGCCATGAGAGGGAACAGTGACTTACATTCATACACCTCCTGGTGTACTAAGTGTTTTTGTGTATTTTCTGAGTTGGTATCTTGACGGCAGAGACAGCACAACCTCCAAACTTGTCACATCTGAGCATTTTGGTATTTCTGCTCTTGCATTATTTTCCTAATTGAGTAACGTGTTTGGACATCCTCCTGTCATTCTTCCATACTGCTGTATCTTTTGCCTCCTTGCCATCGCTTCTTTGATTTCACTTTTCATTTGCTTACTTTTCTCTGCAGCTGTTTGCATTGTCGCCTCTGAGGAGCAAAGTAACTGTTAGCTTTTTCCCCCCTCTCTTTCGTCTATAAAGTATTTGGTTTCAGTTTACCCTTGCACTTTCTTTTTCCATTTGGAGGTGACCGAAGCTGTTTTTTAGAGAAGGCTTGGAAGACTTGATTAAGGAGGAAAATGCTCATGGGTATTTAAAAAAAGAGTATTTGTCAGTGATCTCCCTCAAATATCTGGATAGATCAGACAAGCCCGTTGCTAACATCTTCTGGTTTAAATGGGCTGTTCAAAGTGCATGCTGCAAATGTGATCCTAACAAAACTGCTGCTTTGCACACACCCACACACACACAAATAACCCGGGCACTCCAGCAGCACACTGCCTTTCATTTAAATGCATAGCTCCTTAAAGGTAAAACGAAGGCTGAAAGAGAGGGCAAAACACCACCCAGACAAATGTGACACTTTCACACTTGTGTTCATGCTTTATTTTTCTTTTATCTCATTGTGCTTGGCCTTCATGCTGGATCAAGCATTCTCTCCTCTGCGAATGCGTGTGTGTGTGTTTGTGTGTGTGTGTGTGTATATGTGTGTGTGAGGATGTGAAAATGTACAAGTTGATTTCCTTTCCATGTCGACAAAACAATTCCTTTCTTCTTGTTTAATTTATTTTATCTGTGTGCAAAAGATTTAATTCCAACTCCAAGTAAACCTCTCTTGCTGCGCTCCGGCTTTCATTTGGGCATTATTTCAGACAAAGTGCAAAGGTCACCCCCAGGATTGTGTCTGTTGCTCAGTCTGGCTGCCACAAACAGTCACTATCACTTCTAAAGTGCTGTCCCCTCTAATGGCGTTCTACTGGCTTGGCCGCAGTCTGTACACTCACGACCTGTGGGCATGAAATGAGCCTGGTCCAGTGGATGCAAGGTTCTCTTTAAAGCCATGGCCCCTCTCTCAGGCTATTTTCTGTCTAACAGAGCAGAGCACGTGGCTGATGAGGTCAACTCATAGTTGGAGATTGAGCGTAATGTAAGGCCTCTCATTATTGACTAATTACGGCCTGTTGGCAACAAAGACTGTTGGCAGTGCATTACTCAGCTCTAGAGTGGGTTCTTTTAGCCCACTTCAGACTGTTGATTTTACCAAGTGATTAGGACAGGGCCTCGCTGAATGTGGCTAAGCGCCTCTGGTCTCTGACTCACACTGATGCAGGTGCACGCAGACTCAGACGGCAACTGCTTCACACACAAACGCTGAGACGACATGCCATTTTGGTTAGTTAAATAAGCACCCAATGTTTGTCAGTGTCCTCCCCTCACTCAACCCTCCCCCAGCCCCCCCCCCCCCCCTTTCCCTCCCTCTACCCCCAAAGCCCACACTGATAGCATAGGGCTCCACGCTATAACGGGCATCTGGTGCAAAAAAGAAAGATCACCAGAGACATTCATTTGTATGGATTATTTCAACTGCTATTGTCTAAAGGCTGTGTTCATTGTGATCTATCTGAAAAAAAAAAAGATGAAAAGATCAAATAAAAAAACCAATTACTAATAATGTTTGCTCTTGTCCTTGTATGAGTTTGTGAGGAATGGCTAGTCGGGGCTTTGATTTAATTTCTCTCCTCCCCAGAGATAAACTCGCAGACCCATATTTTTTTTTTTCTGTCTTTCCCTGAAGCATCCTCACAGCCAATTTTGCTTTGTCAAATAAGATTCACTGTTTACTTTCTAAGTGCCAGCATACTTAGGAAAAGATAAAAATTGGATTTTTCAATTGGTTTTTAAATGCACATGGGCATGCGCCTCCTTCCCGTGCACTCTCACACACAAACAGTTAAAATGTAGCTTTGGGCAAGAGATTCTTCATTCATAACATTGGTTTAGATTTTTGCCACATGAAAGATTACTGCTCAAACTATGTTTTTTTTTCTTCTAATTGCTCAGAGGCAAATAAAAACGGAGCTTGAAATTATGTGTGCTAATGTTTCTCAGAGAAGATGTTGCACTCTTCCCTTAAGCTAGCTTCATATTCAGAGGCCAATTTGAAGTCTGTCCAACACTTGCCCGTGGTTAGAGAAGTATTTTGTATGCCTCCAATTCGCTTATTCATATCTGGTTTAATCAATGTCTAATTACTGGATAGTAGGTGTTAGGAAGGAAGACACACTGGCAGTAGTAGATGTGACCTCCTTCATAGTGAAGAAAAGTAAACAAACTTAATTAGAGCTGACTGCGGTATTGATGCTTTCAAATGTGTTTCTTGGGCTTTTTTTTTCTGTGTTTCTCAATACAAATGGAAACTACAAACAGTAATGTTACAGCATTACATTAATGTAAGGAAACGATTCCATCACCCCTGGT